ACGGAGGAGCAACTCCGGATTCGCTCTTTTTTCATGGCTACGTGAGCGGCCAGTTGTCCCCGTCCCGACGCAGACGCCTCGCAGATGGTATTCTGTCAACTCGGTCTCTCGCGCTCATCAAGATCGGGATTTCCCGAGCACCCCTGACTTACCCATAGCTGCTCCCGTCAGTCCTTTGAATCGCTGGGTTCTTTTCCTAGGGGGTTCATCTCCCTCCCTTCTGAATGATGACCAACCGTATTCACTCACTTCGCTCGTTTTTCGGCAATTGTTCGTCACAGAATATGGGCAGACAACAAACTTCAAGGGAACGCACGCTCCGGCTAGATAGAGCACGCTACGCTACATATTGGCCCGGAACGTCGGCCCGCGAGTGCGCGCCTCGAACCTCTCCAGGCTCGACATAAACACCCCTTCGCCGGTGCGTCCTCTCCCATCGAGGTCCTCTCTGTCGATTTGCCCCTTTCTTTGAACAACCTCCGTGTTGCCCAGATGGGGAAAGGGCAAGCGTTCGTACTCGAGAACACTCGAGGACAGTCCTGCTCATTTGCAGCCTCATAACGTGCTCGGAGCTCCACCTCGGCATTCGCGCACGTCCGTTTCTCAAAGATGCGACATTGCAGCATATGTAACTCGAGCAGAGTCCCTCCCATGAGCGGAATCGTCGGGAATTCCCAGAAGATACGGTTCCGCGGCAATCTATTACGGGAAAAGCTGCCAACCTGGAATTTTAAGGACTGAGCAAGCCCGCCCGCGACGAATGCAGCCTTAGGGTCTCATCTGCTCATCGCAGGTGACTCCGCGGTGAGAAGACATTTTTCCTCATCCCACTGCACCGCACTGCTGGTACTTCCCGCGTAAATGCTAGCACAAGAGGGGAGGGGGGCATCTCCGTAGACCGCCGTAGATTTTCGTCTTGATTTTCTCGGGCTCGCTCTGACGCGGCAAGACATATTTTCCGTCGTGGAATCGTACCACGCTCGCCTGATGCGGAACCCCCCGCTGGATTCTATTCTGCAAGGCTCGAGTGCCTCGAACTCCTTGACCTCGCGAGCCTACGAGAGTAGACTCGCCTGAGAGGGTAGTTCGGCTGATTTTTTCCCCACGTTCCGTCCCTCAATACTCCATTAAAGAAGAAGTTCTGCTCCACGCGGAACCGACTTTGTTTTGTCGAGGCTGAACTTTCGTTCTACTCGGCCACGCTAGGCAGTTCCGGGCTAATACGATTCGAGGCGGAGCCCGGTTTTTATGATTCGTGACCTCGGCTCAAAATCTAGGCCAGTATATGACTGGTCATTTCGCACGAACGGTCAGATGAAGACTCACAATACAGTAAAAGCTCGTTATAACGACCCCCATTACAACGAATTTCTCGGTACAACGAACAAGGAATTTCGCCTCCTTTGGCCAGCTCGCCATAGGGATAGTGTTGAGTGGCATTCGTTACAGCGAAAACTCGGTACAACGAACCAGTTTCGTCGGTCCCTTCGTGTTCGTGGTAACGAGCTTTTACTGTATGTATAAGCTGGCGCACAAGTCGGGAGAGCTCGGAAGTCTCAACCAAAAAGAACGTGTGCACGAGGTCAGTTTTCGAAGATGGGACTCTAGCGTCTGACCATGGATTCCACGGGGGACGCTTCAACGGAATTGAACATGACTCGCTTGACGAACTTTCTCGACTTCGCTCCGTCAAGAACATCTGAACTGTAGAACGTGATTGACATCTTCGAGTATTTTTTCGACAAGCGATCAGTCGCACTGGACAACACTGCCGACGTCAAGCACTGAATCCTCGTTCGGTCAAGAGCAGTTCGTTGACACGACCGCTGTCGGCTCGGCGAGAATTCACCATCGTCTGAAAAAGAAATCTTTGGACACCTCCGAGCACAATCGCTCCGGTCGATGACGCCGAAACCTTTATTGATCTGCAGTCTTTATCTCGAACGCTTGATTAGTTTTTAAAATTACCTCCCATGCCCCCAACAAAGCACTCATCAGTCTGCTCGGAAGACCAAAATATGTGATCGATGATCCAATCGTTCTCTCCGTCGAGACGATAATTCTCGGTCGATGGGGTTTTTCGATGATTCAGACAAGTAGTTAGGTCCCGAAAGGTTACGGTTCTTTTCAGTGGCAGAGGACCCCTGGGAATGCCTAACTCAGAATAAACAGTCGACCCGATCGGGGAGGGAGGAAGCTAATTTCGATCTAGGAGGATCCGTGTTCTCTGCCCTCGAGCTTCCCAGCGATCCTGGAACACTCGTGCTCGGAGGACCATAGCCTGCGAGACGACGGGAAATGACTCTCTATAAAGATGAGATGGGCTCGCGTGCAGCTCCGACAAATCCCGGACCAATATACCGTGGCTAGTTCTCTGAGAGTTCCGGCACTGAGATTCATTTTGAATCCTCGATATTGAGGATCCTCCCCAAGTCGCGAGAGCCTACATTGATGTATTCGGAAGTTTGCGACGCAATCGAATTCTTTTCTCCGCTCTGCGCGTGATCGGGGAAAGCGTGAGCTAGTCGACATTCGAAAGTCGAATAATTGTATCTCCGCATCACAGGCTCAGCCGATGCGGATCCCGCAAAAGTCTCCTGTGTCTGTGACATCATGATCACATGGTGGAGAAAGAATCGAGGCTCTGCAGAAAGGCAGACCGTGGCAGGTCGGGAAACGACGAATGTAAGACACGAATGCAGCAGCTGTAATCAGTTTATCGAAGGGGTCGATAAAACGGTCAATACAGGCTCGCTGCGAGTTAGGCGAAACGAGATTGGATGGTCACGCCATTTCCCAACGATCCGCGCGAACCTACGCTCCGTCGGACGAAGTAGATTCCAGTGAGAGGATGGGTCGGGAAAAGAGAGGAAATGCGTAGCTGGACGCCATACAATGAACGATACATGATCAACTCCAATCGAGAATACTAATCCATCGGGAATCGATACGAACCTTTTTGGAAAAAACATGTGAAATTTTCCCCCATCAACTGAGCGTCGGACCCCGATGAGCCACGACTGACTTACGAGCTCGACCGAGGGTGAGGTAGTACAATAGTAAATCGGAAAAACGATTCGGACCGAACTCGATTGGGCCGTGCGTGCGGAAGCGTGGAACCATCGAGACGTAAACCTTCGCCTCGAACGATTGAAGGGAGACATGAATTCCGGATAACGTTCTTGGGTCGTCCTTCTCTCATCTGTGAGATATCGACGGTAGGGCCCAATTCCTTCGAGAGATGTCAGACGTCAGCTTCGGACTGCACACTCGGTCCGGTCCTCTCTCTCTACGACTTACCTCTACCCCATCGTAGACGGCTATGGAGGTCTGAAAAGTGGATGTTCAGGCCGGCTTACGGAGCGATAAGCCGTCACGAACGGTCAAGGCATACGCTCTCCGCGTGGCCAGTGCATTGGCGAGGGGCTCACGTCGATGTACGACATCCCGAGCGAGCGCAGTCAGGTATCGATCCACCTCGCCACCACGGACAGAAGTTTGGATGCTGCTCTTATTTCTGCGAATGCCGCGTGTTGAGGGACTTCAGAAGAGCTCGTCGTTCCTACATCTCATTACTCTTGGGAAGCCCCGGTCCCCCGCGAAATTCTTGTCTCGGGTTCCGCTCGGTTGAATGCCTTCCAATTATTCAATTCTGGCGCTGGAAATCCCCGGGAACTTAGGGCTGGGAGTTCCTGAAATTCTGTCGCCAGAAGAAACTTGGGAAATCTAGAGCTGATAACGATTGTCTTCCGACGTGACTCAAGCCGTGTCTTCGCTTCAATCGTTCCGAAAGACTTGTAATCAGAAGATTTCGCCAACATGCGAACCACGAATAAATGAAAATCCCCCGATGACGTCGAGACGGGACTGTTTCCCGAATTCGAACTTCGATCAAATAATTATCCCGAAACACGGAATTGGAGCTCGAAGCGCGGCGGTTCCTCGGACGCTTTATGATCTAGTCATCATCGTCCAATACGACCTCTCCGTTTGCATATCATCCGCGATTCTTCTTATCTTCCCCCTGGACATGATACTTCCGGCGACCGGGATCCAGCGTCTTATCTATCGATTCTCCCATTCCTCTGTGCAGCTGGGGGAACAATCCCGTCGTCGATGCGACGAACCTGGGGATTATTTCCCTCAGGGAATGGCTCAAATCGGGCATTTGGCACCGGAAGATCGAATGGAATCGAGGAAGCGTGACGGATGATTTCTTTCCATCTGTACCGATCGAGTATCTGAACACGAATGATTTTCAGGGTCAGCTATCCCCACAAGAGTTTATTTCTTCGAATTTAAATCGCAGGCTCCAAACACTCGGATATGTTCGCCGGAGTCATCGCATTTCTAATGATTGTAGCATCGACCAGAATAGAGATGAAATCAATCATCAGCGACTCAAGACCAACGGATTCCGACTAGAAGTCGGGAGCATCGGTAAAAACGCGAAGTTCACCTGCCATCAAGCGACGTCGCTGCTTGATTTTCGGAAAGTGGATAAGTAGAGTTTCCGCAGGAGAAAACTTTCGAATCTCGTTTCTCAAAGCCGCCAGCTTTGCTCTCCTCGATTGGGGCTCAGCATTATCGAGCCTTCCGAAGAGAGAAAACTTACGAAAACAACTAAATTTCAGTACGACGCTGTCGTGCTCACAAGAAACACGACGTCACCGAGGAGAGCAGATAATCCTTGAGCGAATATCATAGAATCTTCGCTCCAAAAAAGAACCTGTTCGGCATTACTGGTGCTGCTCAATGATGACTTATGACGCCAAGAGACGTAGTAATTACCCGCCGTCGACGATCGCTACTCATTGCGTTCTCTGGTTTCCAGTCGACCCGACCAACCGGTGCAGCGATCCAGTGCAGCCGCATCTTCTTCTCCAGAAAAAAAGAGAACGCCAAACACTCGCTCTTGAAAACCGACTGACTTCGCGTGATGTCACCGAGAAAGGGCCGCTCACCTATAAAAGCCGGAACAGGTTCCCCGGATTCACAAAACTGGGTGAACTCAGCTTCAAACACTTCATCATGAAACTTTTCCTGTGCTTCGCTCTCGTAGCGCTTTCGGCGTTCGCTACTGCCGCCGAGGAGGATCCTGAGGCGAAGAATGTGAAACTCGAGGTGCCGGCCGATGGTACCGAGACTAAAACCGCAGACGGGAAAGAGTCAGTCGAGGAACGGGGTCTTTACCGAGGTCATCACGGCGGATACGGGGGAGGCTTCGGCGGAGGTTTCGACCGCTTCGGTTCCCAGGCTCAGGCTGGCGGTTTCAACCAGGGCTCGAACCAGCACGCCCAGGCCAACCAATTCAACAACGCGGCAGGATTCAAGAACACCCAGGGCTTCAGGGAGCAGCAGGGTTTCAGCCACTCGAACAACAACCAGTACGGGAGCGGCTTCAACACAGCGGCCGGCGGCTACCAAAACCAACAGGGCGGATTCGGCCAAGCCGGAGGCTCTTACGGCCAGGGAGGAGGTTTCGGCTTCGGTCGCCGTTGAGCAGACGACCGTAGAGATAGACAGAGTCGAACTGTGATAATTGTACAAATTTTCAATAAATTCAGAATGATTGATGCAGAATATAGATCGGTCACTTACTCCGGGGCACCGGCGTCCAATGTCTATTAGGACTCCGGATATTTGATTATTATCATCATCATATGAGGAGCCTCGAGACAACGAACCAATGCGACATACCTCTTGATTGCAATAATTAGAATGCTGGTAATAATATGTAGCCAATTATTCGTCTCCGGTAATTTTTTTTCGGAAGGAAGACCGAGTTCGAAGTGGCATCCTCGATCTTTATTGAATCAAGCCGCAGGAAAACTTATCGGAATCATCGTTCGTTACAGACTCCGGCCGCTACTTCTGAGCGTCGGACTGGTCCGATTCTTCAAGAGAGCTTCTGATTCCTGGAACGAAAGGAGCGACTTTGTGGTAGGGGGCGATCGAATGCAAGTTTCTCACAGATTGCCTGTCTGTCGTTCCTTCGTGACGGGAAGCGGCAACGATGAGAAAGCAAGAAGCCGCGGGGGAAGAGGGAGAAAAGCAATCCAAGACTAGAAACGAGAACAGCGAGGGCGATGACGTGGAGCAGAGATGCACGACTCCGAGACAAAGGAGTCGGTCGGATTGCTGGATAAAAACTCAAAGAGAAGTCTGCGCACCTTGAGCGATGTTTTTGTAGACATCAGTCACCGGCGCATCGGGGAACTGCTGCACAAAAAGTTTTCCCTCGTCGCAAGCTTGTGCTGAAACGGAAAACCCAATTAAATAAATCTCAGCGGAGCTGCACTATACTCGCCGTCCCTTGGCGCGAAGTCTGACGGTCGGGGGTTCGCTCCGGAAACATCCTTGCAGAAAAACCCTCGCTGGTATTCCCTTTCTGGTTGAAACATTCGATGCTGATTGGGGAGTCTCGCTGAATCTCCGTCGATCATTGATTTCCGTGAATTGCTCGTAGGTAGCTCGTCCATCAGGAATCGAGCAAGACAAGCGTTGCAATACTTTTCGATGGATCACCGCTCGACGCAGACACGGCATGCCTAGTGGCCGAAAGAACGAATATCGAGGCAAAAGGCCCTCCATGATTGAGATGGGACTCGAAGATAGGAATAGTCTGCTCTTTGGATACGGTGTAGTTTCGATCAGACGCGCTGATCCCCCCCCCCCCCCATCCGGGAAAGGAGCTCGAGTAGGTCGAAAAGTTACCCCGCTATAGAATCTCGCTCTGCTCTGGTGCGAGGGTTCCGCTCTCAGGAATACCCTGCTTCTTGTTAGACCACCTAAACCTTTAGCAACGACCCTCCCGTTCCTTCCTGCTTGAACCCGGGCCAGAAGCAGGGGCGTACGCAGGGGGGGGGCTGGAGGGGCTGTAGCCCCCTCCCAGATGATCCCTTTGTGCTGCTGTGGTATAGGAGCGAGTCGCCATATTGGATTCCAGCCCCATTCGAAGGACCGATCTAGCCCCCCAAACAAAAATCCTGCCTACGCCACTGATCAGAGGGTTCAAGTCGGGGAGCTCGGGCTTTCGGTGAACATTTAGCGGCAGCGCCCTTCTCCATCGTAGAGCCCGTCACGGGTCGGAGACCCGTATTCATTCAGATTGACCTCGAAAGAGGGACCGAAAACTTTTTTCCGGAAAAATCGCACTTCTCCTCCCTCAGAGTAGATAGCCAGCGGAGAATCTGCCTGAGGACCGAATGAAAGCTGTCCAACAGTCCGAGGTGCCCAGAGACAGGCACAGAGTGTCGAATGAGCGACATTGACCGTATGAGAACGAAACGTGTTTGCGACCTTTTGGAACCATTGTCGAGCGATGTGAAATCGTACACCGTTGTAGGAGGTAAAACAACGGCGCCGCTGTGACCCGGCTCAACCTAGAGTCACTATGACGAAAGCTCTCAAAACGAGAGTGATGTCAGTCTGTATCAGAATTCGGAAGGGGGAATGGATTGAGCGACGGATTTTTCTCCTCGTTGATGGTGCGATCTGACCAATGGTTTCTTGATAATTGTGCTTCCAGCTGACTTCATTGCCGTTTCGGTACCGTCCAAAGTCGAATATTGTTTGAGCTTGCGGATGGGACTCACCGAGTTTCGAATCCAGGGGAACTTCGCCGAGAAGCTTCAGACCGAAATCGCGGCACATCTTCTCACACGCTCCATTCGACGGGAATATATCGGAACGCACAGTGCAGTTAGGGCACATGTAGCCTTTCATGTTCTCTATCACTCCCAGAACGGGCAATGAGACCTTCCGACAAAAATCGAACTCTTTCCGAACGTCCTGAACCGCCACGGCCTGTTATGGGGAGAAATCTTGTCAATTTTTGAGGAGAACATCACTAGCACTCAAACGAAGAGAGATCGTGATCGTTCCGGCTGGGGTTCCGAAATAACCCACCTGAGGAGTCGTAACCAAAATAGCTCCAGCCAAATTGCATCCTTTCAAATACTGGACGACGGTAAGGTGCTCGTCCGACGTGCCCGGGGGTGTATCGACGAGCAGATAATCCAATTCGCCCCAGTCCACATCCCGCAAGAACTGTTTGATCAAACCTAAGATTGTTCGGGCAGAGCTCGATTAGTGGGCGAGCACTCGGTGGAGCTGCATCACGGCTGGTGGCTGGGGAAAAGTCGAGAACTCATCTAGCCGGAGAACATTATTGTTCATAGCTGCAATTACCATTTTTCCGAGGGCCTCGCCAGACTACCGCGTCGTCTCTGCTTTTCAATAAAAAACCGATGCTCATCAAGGCGAGATTTTCGTCTGGATACACAGGACTCCATCCACTGCCCGACTGATGCACCTGTGGGAGGATAACAAGGGTTTTTAACTGAGCGCGTGCTGGAGACGGAGCAAGCCTCGGAACGTCGAAGTCGACTCGATCCCAAGGATTCGCGGAGATTTCGTGTAGCGGCCTCGGGGCAGCAATGGAGTCCCTCTGGAGCTCCATCCTCGACCTCAGTGTCAGAAGAGGCGTTCACTGCTCCGCTGAGACCCAATTCAATCGGTCCCACAATACGAGGTCGGTTGTCTCCCTGGACGTTGCCTACTAGTTTTCGGTACACTAATTTTTTTTTGTCTTCTCCATCCCCCTCGCTCCAGCGCTGAAACACCTCGAGGACATGCGGCGCGGTAGTCAGGCTCCAAAGCCACGTCGGCACTGCCTGAAGGATCGACTGCGGGAACGGCCCGAAATCATTCTCAGCCAGCCTCGGTGCCCGTGGAAAGAGCCGAGTGCCGAGTCCAGACCAATGACCTCCCACTCGAAGCAGAGTCGCGTCCGATCATGCGAAGTCGAGCGCGAAATACAAACTTCTTCCGGAATCCTAATAACGCTCGATGGGAATCTTCAGCCTCCCATGCTAGTCCAGAGATCAGCAGTGCCATAATGCAGCACACTGAGAGGGGAGCCTCTGTTTGAGCTAATCATCTCGCCCTCCCCCAAGCACGAGAAGCATGTATAGCTCTGAGCTCAAGACTTGGATATCAAACATTCTACCTTTATCAGTGGTCATGTTCGGAAATCGGAGGATCTCACCTGTTCTCCTTCTACACCCATCATCGTTGGCTGAGACGGTCCACAGATGTCCACGTCCAGGACTGCCACGGAACGATCGAGCGACAGGACTTGTGCCAACATAGAAGTCACTGTGGATTTTCCAACGCCGCCTTTACCGGACAGAATCAGAATTATCTTCTTGACTGACGCAAGTCGAGATCTGATCACAGCCAAGTCTGAAACAGGGAGACTTCTTGAACATCAGTAGTCGATTGTGCGGTGTCACGTTCTTCATGGATCGCCGGCATGGAGACTCATCTCCTGATTGCTCACCTGGATCGGGACCGGTCGGTCCTGAAGCACAGGCCGCTCGGTTCGGACACCCCGCGCAGCCGGCGGCTTTACCAGCATCTCCGCTGCTAGTTCCAGGACAGCCTGGAAATGTCAAGGGAGAGGACGGAATGGAAAAGCATTCTCAGGAGCGATACACCTGGGGAGTTCCTTCCACTGTCGGAGTTCAGGATAGGCGTGATTGGAAAAAACAGATCACATGCAAAACACACGCAGTTCGGATGGCACTTCTAGAAACTAGAGCTCCGCTCTGTCTCCGTTGCGAACGGGCAATGGTCGGTGAGCAGGAGGGATCTCCCCCCAAGGGGACGGGCTTTTTTTTCTTCTCTGTAATCATGAGTTCGACCATACTCGGATGTCACAAGCGGAGCTTCTGACATTTTCCCCACGGGAAACTCCTCTCATCGAAGACTGTGACTCGGAATATCCCCCGAATGATGAATCGAATCTTTAACCTAAGACTACGACTAACTCTGTGGAGCGTTTTCGGGAACGTCTGACATCTTTTCGAGCTCCGGATTCCGCGAATCTTCGATTCGAACTCGCGAATGCCACGGCGCGCCGGGTCGAACGATCTCGTGTGGAGCGCGACAGCGCGAGCAGCTGATGGAAGGAACTGCTGATGCGAACGCGGCACAATTCCGAACGACGACCCTCGGATATGTCCAAAAATATGTCAGCGTGAACTCGATCCTGTCTCCAAGAACGCGGATTGTCGGAATGCTTACATTCGGACGCACTGCGGGGAAATCTTCGCTCGAAAAAGTCAACATTTCGAGAAATCCCATCCGATGTCTCGCAGATCATTCCTTCGAAGAGTCGTGAACAGCCGGGAAAGTTTTTGGCGCTAAGTCTCGCCGGACAACTGGTGGGACTGGATTGCAGCTCCGATTCGACGTTGAGGATTTTCAGTTCGCTCGCTTCGGACTGATTCCTTCAACCGTCTATTTATCGCGAGCCCGTGAGAGTCTTTTCTGGTCCCGGGTCATCCAACACGGCTCTGATCATCGGAGTTCGATTACGGTCCCGCAAGAATATTGCACAGGATACCATCCTGCAGAAACCTCGAACGTACGCCTGGGATCTACAAAGACGATGAGTGGAGTGCAAGGAGACTTTGAGGAGAAGGAATTCTCCAGGACGAAATGTGATTTCAAGAGTCTGTCGACCCGTTTCGAACTCTGCACGCGTGACTTCCGAATGCAGTACGCCAATTTGTACAAGAAGCGCTACGAGAGATGTTTGCCTGCTTTGCGGAAAAGAGTCGACGAGGAATGGGGTGAGTCGGGAAGAAATTAAGACTGACTGACAATGAGTCAGAGAAGGATATGAGGGTTGTCGTAGCATAATCCGTGAGATCCAGATTCTCATGAATGATCCTGACACTCACTCATGAAATCTGATAGGCTCATCGAAATGTCCCATCGAAGAGGTGTGTAATCTGAAGTGTGGCGTTCAGACCATCGTGATGGGAACCCTGTTCAAGACCATGCCCAAACAGCCTTCGATCTTGAGGGAGATCTCTGAAGATGTGAGTTTATTTCCGATTGTCGGAGCAAATCTCCCGAGGTTCTCCCACATGTGTGCCGCAGAGCTCACAGAATAGCTCACAAACTTATAGAAGTCAGACAAGAATTCTGTTCGGAACGCGGTCTCTACGGTTACAGATTCCGGAAGATGCAGAGTGTACCGTGGAGCCCACTGATAACTTCACCTCCGATGAAGATGAATTGGTGCTCGAAGATCTCCGACAGAGAGTAGCTATAAGATCGTCGGACTTGCTGAGTCCTCACAAGCTGGTGACAGGTGTTCCGATCGCGTTGATGGGAGCAGTCGACGAGGAGGACGCTCACTTCGTGGTCAAAGATGTTCTCTATATCGGTAGGAACATGAACACTCCGAACAGAATATACGAAGTTTCCTGTAGATTATGCCTCCAAAAATCATATTTCCTCGCGGAGAATAGCAATCCTGAGCCTTTCCGATGCCGCAGGAATTCGGAACCAACCTCCTGTGCCGACCATCGCCGAGGACAAGTACGTGGTTTTCATCAGTGGATTGAATCTCAGCAGCAACCATGACCTCACACCCTTCCAGCTATTCGTCGATTACCTGACTGGGATGATCGGCAGCAATAAAGAAGTTGAACGGGTACGTGCGCCCAGGTTCGGGATATTTTTTTTGATCAAATACTATCGTCGGGTGTCTCTCTTACGAATAATTCAAACTTTCCTCCTGAGAGACTCAAAGAGCGTTTGACGTCTTCCAGACGGCGCGGGTCTGCAAGGTCTTCATCTGCGGCAATTCTGTCGCCGCTCGCTCGGAGTCAGAGATGAAATCTTCGACATTCTCCCTCCGGAAAGAGGTTCCTGACAATGCTCCATTCATGAACATTCTCGATGCGTATCTCAACGCATTGAGCAAGAGCGTCCCCGTAGATATAATGCCGGGCGACATGGACCCGACAAATAATCAACTTCCTCAGCAACCCTTGAACCAAGTCCTGTTCCCGAGGAGCGCGGTCAACGGCAACCTAACGTCTGTCACGAACCCTCACGAATTCGAAATTGACGGCGTCCGATTCTTGGGAACTTCCGGTCAGAATGTCGCGGATATACTGCGCTACTCGAGACTTCCAGGGCCGCTCGATGCGCTGGAAGCCATTGTTAGGTGGTGAGTGTCTGCTCGGGGCGGGATGACGGGACGAATGACTCCACTGTTAAAGCCTGATGGAGGTTCACGATCAGATTTCTCATCAGACTTCATCCTCCAGGTGTCACCTCATTCCCAGTGCGCCGGATACCACGCCCGCATACCCTCAACAGCAGACGGATCCGTTCGTCATTGAAGAAACACCTCACGTGCTGTTCGCTGGCAATCAACCCGAGTTCCAAGCGAAAATATACACTGGTAAGTCTGATTCTTTGGTGCGAGAGGCACCGTACGCATTCGAGGGGTATTTTCGGCCCTGAGCTAGCCGGGGAAAAAGTACATCCGAGGAGGATCCCTGATCGACGACTCTCCTGATTCCAGACGAAGCCGGGAGGAGCGTTCTTCTGTTGAGCATACCGGCGTTTTGGAAGACACCGACTTGTGTTTGGTTGAACCTGAGGACTCTCGAGGCTTCCAAACTGGACTTCATCATAGACGAACCCACGGGCTGATGCTCATGAGAGAACAGAAGAACACCTTCGATGATCAATGCTGAGATTCGTCAATTTTATAGGAAGACCCCGAGAACACAAGAGATCCGTGGCGGCACAATAAAGACATCACTTCGATATATTATCAATGATGATCAGATCTTCAATGATGGGTCATTTCTCAATACGCGAGCACCACGTTGATGAAACGATTACAGGATGATAAACAAAACAACTTGGATGTCTTGGTCCTATTCATGAGAAGGGGAGATCGGATACCCTATTCAGGTCACAAAAACTTCGGCTGCTTCTTTAGGGCGTCGACGTCGAGGAACCTTGGGTTTTCAGTGTGCGCCGTTTTCATCTGGCCTCCGGAATCCGCGAAAAGCACTTGCTTCGACGCCTCCGCAGTGAGAACTCTGGGGGATATGCGAATAATTCATTTGAGTTTTTGCTTGGTTACTATTTTTTTCGAGAGTGCTTCCTCAGTCCGTTCATTGTGGGAGGTTACACTGGACCTTGTGAGCGGACGGAAGCAGAGGGGAATATTTTTCTTTCACGCGTATAAATTGTCAAGCTGATGATCGCCATGAAGCTCACCGACGAAGCATTCCACCATCCGGAGGGGTTTTCCCGAGTAGTTTGGTCGATTTCGGCAGTTGAGGACTTTTGCCGAAATATTTCCGCGTCACTTCATTGACGCAGATCGATGGCTGATTTGACCCGCTCAAAACCAACGATTGGTATTGTAGCCTAGGTCGTAGGATGCTGTCCGACTCTCCAAGTCTTCCATCGATGAGATCCTTCGTTTTCTATGATGTGAGAAGGAGAGGAATAGAGATCCAAAATCTTTCGAGTTCGAAGAGGCCCATTCTGCTTCCGTAAGAAATTAGCGAAATCTTACCGGCACTGAGTCCCCCAAGCGAGGCCAGACGAAACTCTCCGACGTATCGTCCCGATCAGTATCCCGAGCATTATTATCATTCAAGACTTTTAAAATCCCCCGTTTCACCTCACTGTAGTATCGGTCACTAGGCCCTTGGGCTCGGTCAGCGGCTTCTGAACGGAGGTCTCTCCTCCTTTCACCTTCAATCAGTGTTTCCGGCACGTAAGGCCGCATCAGCGCGAAATTCATTTCGGCAAGCCTTGGCAAAGATAAATCGCCCAGCTGGGGTCCTCCCTTCAATGATCGAGACGTCGATTATTCATCTTATGATGAGATCGAGGGACGCGGACGAGTCTTGCCCGAAAGAAATCGATGTCATACTGTTCAGAGTTGAGATTACCTGCGAGTTCGACTGAGAACTCGGTTTTTCTGGAGATCGGGAAAGCCGTCGAGAGTCAACAGATGGAACGCTCTCGTTTAGTTTTGACATCAGAATTTCTATCTGTCCCTTGAGGAATGAAATTTCCTTCTCCTGTTGCTTGAGGCGATCCATTACTTCGGGCGATACAGACGCCGAGCTCCTATCTCTCAAATCCAAGGGATCAGACCTGCGAAAGGTTGGTGAAAGCAAAAAACCTCATGACTGATTTGTCCACACCTGGTCGCCGGGATGAATCGGACTTCGGATGAAGCATATGGTTCCGTCCAGGGTGACTGACCTACGTTGGTGTAGAACTCTTTCCACGGGGGTGGAGCTCGAACATGGTGGTGAGATCGGGGACATCGTTATTCGTTTAGGGACCACTTTGTTAACACCTATCGTTGCCGGCGTGAACTGATGGGTTCGACGTGGGGAGATCTGGAACAAGCTTCCCCGTCAGATAACCGGTGGCAAAATTTCTCCACCGTCCCGGAGCCGACCCCCCCCCCCCTCCTCCCCACCGAGCTGGATCAATACAAGCCACAGGAAAGATGTAACGGATTTCGAAGAGTCCGCATTCGATACGTGGCAGAGGCGAGGTTCAATCAAGTTCGGTCTGATCCTCCAATGTCTCAATGAATTGATGGTGTTTCGTCCGATCAAATGCACGAGGGACGAAAGTCTTCCTCACCAGTTGCGGTAACCCTTCACGAGTTTTCAATCGGTAGCTTTCTTGCTCAGCCTCCTTACAAATTTCGTCGACTACTGTGTTTCCTCTCGTCACGTCCATGGTGAAATCTCCATCATCGACATAACACAGGGTCAAGGGAATGTCAATGAGTGTGTCCCGTGCCGCGAATACACGTGTTACCGTAGTCTTTTCTAAGCCGCTGAATACCTGCGGGAAAGAAAATGAATCACTGGAGATGAGACATCTGTAGCGCTCGAAGAAAACTCGCGTCGTCGGCAGTAGGTCGAATGTCGAAAAGGCTTACCACTGTTCGCATTATATCCTCGTGAGGGGTCACGTTATAGAAATGAGCATCACCCCTGCCGTCGAAGTGGACCAGAACAAAAATATCAGAGCGATCCACGGAATTCAGGAAATGCTGACATATAAGCCACACAAGAGGACTGTGGATCGAGTTATATCCGGACACCCATCTGGAAGGTAATCGATCAGCGATCAGGACATCCCCGGTAGAAATCTCTTCGCGAGAAATCAAGGAACCCGAGTTCCGTAGTCGGATTGTGCAAATCGAGCTTCATTCTCTATATAATCAATAATCACAATCACGTCCTTACATTCCGGTGCAGTCTTGTCGGAGATCGTCTTTCACCAATAAGTGGAAACTCCCTTTCGAAGTGTGGATCCAACCCCATGTGAGCCCTTTAGGGTTTTGCTGGACCATCTTATGAACACTGTTGTTTGTCACGGGTATCTCTCTAATTTTCTGAGCTTTCAAGCGTCTCTCGAAACAAACCATGCTCAGATCGAGGGTACAGTTCGGACCTTCGAGTTTTCCGTGTATGTCCAGAGAGAAGAAATCGGTCAAGGATTTCTCCGAGAATTCGTGGCGAGAATACTGCTTGGTTTTTACGTCGTCGACGAGGTCCAGGACCGTTTGATTCGGGTCTCGGGCTTCGACCAGGCGACAGAACTGAATGAGGGCAAGTATTATGAGAACGGGTGGAGCGGGAGTTCCGGCTTCATAACAGTCTGATCTCACTCAGATTCCATTCGGGGAACAACACTCACCCTGCATTGCGCCAGGAAATCCGACTGAGCTCCGGGCTGGGGCTTTCCTCTGACCGAGTTAATTTCAACCGAGAGTCCTTCATGGCTCGCGTTCAAGTTCAACGATCCCACCACGAAGAGCGCCTGTTTCGATTCTAGGTAAGTCTGATAGGCGAGATTGAGGATGCGTTGCCTTATCTTCACCTGCGGTTTCCTTGAGAAGACAAATACGAGAGAACGAGTCACCTTCAGACTACGGTGAGTCCAGAAGTCAAATGAGGCAAATCTCTCCTATCGTAGCCTCTCCGCGATGCTAGCAACTCACGTCTTGTTCACGAGCCCCAAAGTTATAGGATCTTCTCCATGGGCGGGTTGTTTCCAGAGAAAATCTCTCTGCATTGCGACTCCGCGAACTGAGGAAGGAGACTGAACGGAAGTGTCAGTTGGACCTCCTAGAGAGCTCTCCCAGCTGAAGTTTTCAGTATTTTGTCCGGCGCGTCTCTGGGCCTCGCCTATCTTCTTTCGATCACACAGGCAATCAGAGAAGGCTCATTCCTGCTCGGAGGTGGCGATCGGGGATTCCGAACTGATAGCCTCACAGCTGTTTTCACTGACTTGAGTGGATCCGACGGTTTTCTCCTCATTGGAAAAAAATCAAGTCTAGCGTCGAAGTCCTCCGGAGGCAATGCAGCTCCCGGCCACCGACGGAAATCCACAGTCTAGACACAAGGGGAATAGAAGAAACGAACCGCAAAAAACGGAAATGAAAACTTTCTGTGCTTGTTTTGAAACTGCGACTGGCCCGCTGCTCGAGCTTTCGAACGATCAAAACAGCGCAGCCGACTCCGCATGGCGCGACACCAACAAGATCCCGTCTGTGAGCGAGCCCCGGGATCAAGTTCGTTCAATCGCTACTAGGCCGTGGAAGCTTAAGGGACGGCGTTCTTCAGGATCGCCTAACCAGGATGGCCCAAGCCACCATTTGTTTCCAGCGCGGAGATCATTTACCGATAGGCGTCTGGAAGCAACATCCGCGATTTCATGATTCCCGGCACCTGGAACCACTCGCAACTCGCGAGGCGATGTCAGTTCCTGTACCCCGGCGATCCGATTGCAGATTGAACGTCGATTCTATCAGATAAATTTCCTTAATCGAGCGGCAATCAATGCAGCTCCGGATGATGTGTGGTGATTATTTCCCTCGGGGCCACACGAGACATACACATGACAAGAGCACAGCGAGTGCCTTCATCTGCCTACACAGTCTTAGGGTTAGCGATGGCCGCATAGGCCCGGTCACTCGCGTCGCCAAATGAGTGCCAATTATCTACTTCCGGAATGCAAAACTTTCCTTTTCTCGTCGGTTCTATCCTGGATTTGTATAGGTTTATGCTGTGATCTGCGGAATCGGTAATTTCTTGAGGGTGGTGCGTATCTACTTCCGAGGAGTCGTCGGAGGATTCCAGCCCCCTTATGACTATCCGTGAGGGTTGTTCCGTATGAACCGGGGGAAATTCCGTCGGTTCTCTCCCTGTTTGTCTACTCCACTAATTAATTTGGCGTCCATCGTAGAAGTCGAGTTTTCTGTCGTACGCGTCCATCCATCGGCTCGTAGGCGTCCAGTGTCCTTGTCCTCCGCGGTCGCTCATCGGCACGGGCTCCGTGTAAAAAGACACACCTCTTGCTAAGACCGCTGCGCTCTCCTGATTCCAACCCAGTGTCTGGCAGCGAATCGGTTCTCCAGTGCTACTCTTCGCTCATCCGCGTAGCGTCCTTGTTTGCTCTGCTCTTGTTACACTTGTCAACTGCTACACTTCTCAACTTTGCCCGTCGAGTGCGTGACGGCCGAATGAACGTCCGCCGACCGCTTCGGAGATGTTGAAGGCTCCGGGACTCCGACCGCCTCCAACTTCCAAAGCCTCTCGAGAGTTTCTGCAGGTGACGTACGCGGAATGGGGTCAAGTCCAACTGTGGCTGCGCAACGTAAGGTGTGCACGCTCCCACGGCACCCTCTTCTCGATCTTCCCCGAAAGACGTTGGACCGCCGAAGACCAAACCAAATCTGCTTGGGTGAGCGACTATATCACCGAGGACCGTCGCAGACGACGGGGAGCGATGCGGGATGAAGTACATTTGATCCATCCCGACTGGAATCGCGGGCGGGGATTGATTCCGTCACTTCAGATAGGGATGGTCGGCTGCCCGATGCCATTGATCGAAGGCTCTCATTTCTCTGGCCCATTGAGCGGGGCGCAAGTTCGGAGGCCAAACCCCGGAATCGTGCTCGATCGATGAGAAGCCACATCGGAATTCTCAGTCCGCTATTCAGCACTTATGCGGAGTCCGTCCACAAAGAGACGTCCTGCCGAGTCTCTGCTCCGTATCATGGGTGCCTTCCACTCGACTCGCTGGCCCTCCGTCGCTCTCCATTTCATCGTGCCGCAATCAATCCTGACCGAGAAGCTCTCCAATGCGTCCCGATCCGGACGATCGACCCCGCTCCACAACCACGAATACGCTATCAGCTTTCTCATTATCCATCTCCACCATTGTGTCGATTTTCTTAATCACCATAGCTCGTTCGCCGCCATGGGATTTCGGCACAACCTCGGTTTTTCCTATTCGAGATCCGATATAGTACACATCGTTCCGATTTCTGACTGAGGATTGACGCTGTTGCCCCGCTATCACTGAGCGTTTCCAGAGGACTTCCACTTTTGCTTTTTCTAGAGATTTCTCCTTCTTGGGGCCGAGATTTAGTGAAAACCGAGTGGATTTGAGTATTTCTCAACTCGTCAATGTCCCACGTTTTGTCGTTCTGATCTGCGGACTCTTGCCGCACGCAAAGCTGACAGGGAAGTTCGCGATCTGCCCCACGCCGATTTCGCTCGGACTTCACACAAATGTTGGTTCGAGTGAGAGATGGGGAACCCGAGAAAATGAGATGCTAAAGCTCAAATGATGAGATGTTCTCGCGGGCCTAATTACCGACAGTAATTCCCGTGTCCCTCATTCCGCGTACATATTCTCGTATTGTACTATCGTAAATAAGAGCTCCATGCTTCGCATAGAAGTACGATAACTCCTGGGTCTTCCTTTCCGAGGATACTCGGACTTGATCACCGCGAAGCTCTGCGCCTCTGTGCTCCTGGGTCAGAAGTACGATAATTTTCGGTTTTCTCATCTCGGAGGTTCTCGGAGTCTTCAGTCCGCGCCGAGCTGACCGCAGCGCCAAGCTGACGGGCCAAGCGCAGTATGGAGCTGACGACTACAGCGCCATCTGCCAAAATGGCCGACTATTTCGGAGGAGAAATGCCAGCCGGCAGGCATCGGCAGGTTTCCGATGCATCAAATTATTCAAGAATCGCGAGCGCCCCTCCTTATCGGGTTTCTGAAGTCACTGGCTTATCGTAGGGGAAATTTTTCTCTCATTCCATCTTCCGCAGTCTGATGCCGGCCGATCTGTGAGTTCGCGTCGAGTATCGATGCGCAGGCGTACCGAAGTCAGGAGAGCCGAAGTTCATTCGGTGCATCCCAACGTGTGATGCTATCAGTTACGGTTTTTGACCTGAGGACGAGTGCAAAAGCGAGAACGAGAGGAAGACATGCTGCAAACCTAGTCCGGGAAGATCCAGTCGGAGCCGTTTCCGTCGAGAGCGAGGTTAGAAAATTACCGAATTCTTCTGCGGTGACAAAGCCAGTTCAAAGGTAGTCATGTTGAGCCGGCTTCCTTTGGTTTCTATTATTGACATCCATATCGCAGCCGTAATCGAGAAAACTCGCGGAAATATTTGCCTTGCGAACAATGCTCTTTAGAAAGTCCACCAGCGCGAGCGGACTGACGCGGCTCGTAGATTCGATCGCATAGCGAGCAACAGGTGGTGACAGGTGACCGACGTTCGGTAAGCGCTGCTGCGCCAATGTTTGCTGTTTGTGGTTTCTCACGTATTTTTTGAGCTTGTCTGTCATCTCGTAAGTCGTGGAGTCGTGAGCCACCAGTGCGTAGGTTAGGCGGGCGATCTGTCGTTCAGTCGGTCGGTACGACGCGACGGACGGACGGATGGACACACGGCAGGTTAGTCGCTCGTTCGTGGAGCTCTCGGTGGCGGCAAGCCTCGCTGCCGCACTAGCAGCAGGTAGGTAGTTAGCCAGGGTAGCGAGCCGAACGTCGCTTGAATGCTGGACGAAGAGATCTTAATCTACGCTCCGGAGCACTCATTGTGGTCGTCGTAGCGCGCTAGAATTCATTGTTGTGTAAGTGCGTGCGGGCGGGTAGGCAGGAAGGCGGGCGGGCGGATTAGTCGGATGGAACCGAAACCGCCATCCTTCTCTAATGCGGATTTTTTTCTAATGCGGATGAATATTCCAGGAGAGCCATGCCGTTTGGATTGAAGCTGAAGAAATCCAAGAATTATTCGGTCGTGTCGAAATCGCTATGCGTGATCATCGTGAAACTCTTGGAGAACGGAACCGTCGAGTGCATACTTAGCTCGAGAACGCTCGGTCAAGAATGCCTGGAGAACGTGTGCCAACGACTGCAAATCTCCCAGACGGAATACTTCGGATTGCGTTATGTCACCAAGGACGGAACCCAACGTTGGGTGGATTTGGACAGGCCTCTGAAGAAGCAGCTTGACAAATACGCGCAGGAGTTTTCGCTCACCCTCGGAATTATGTTCTATGTGTTCAATGTTGACAATTTATCCGATGAGCTCACTCGTTACTATTATTTCTCGCACCTGAAGAGCGATGTTCTCGAGGGACGTCTGAGATGTTCCCGAGAAGAAGCCGTGCAGCTGGCGTCGTTGAGTCTCCAGGCCGAGTTCGGAGACCACAGACCGGAGCACCACACCCCGGATTATTTGAAGAACTTCGTGCTAGTGCCCAAGTATTTGACCGGGGTCGCGGGAGGCAGTCAGGATCTACTTCTGGAAGAAATCATCAAAGCTCATCAAGCGCTGCTCGGGACACCCCACGCGGTCGCCGAGATCTACTACCTCATCGCGGTGCAACGACTCGAAGGGTACGGGGACGAGTTGTTCTACGTCAAAGACCATCTCGGTCACGATGTCACGCTCGGCGTGTCTGCCCTCGGTGTCACGGTGAGGTATCCGTCCCGTATTCACGAGCATTCGATGGCGTATCAGTGGTCCGAAATCGTCGATCTCATCCATCACAAGAAATTCTTCAAAATCGAGGGTCGCGACGCCAGCTGTTGCGCCCAATTCCAACTCGATGACGTCATCACTGCCAAATACATTTGGAAACAATGTGTACAGCAACATAAATTCTACATGCAGATGAAGCAGGTGGAGGGAAGTCGAAAAGAGAAAGAAGTCATCAAGAACATCCACGCTCCAGCGGAGAGCCCCGTGCGACCTCCGGTTTTGTTGAACAACAATACGATCAGCAACAACAAAACCGACAGCAGCGGCAGCAGCAATAATAATTATGCCAATATTAATAATGTCCAGAATAGTAGCACCAGTAGCAATAGCAGTAACTCTAGCAGCGCTCGACAGAATCCGAACCTTACGAGCAGCAATCAGCACGTCGCCACGTGCATGGGCAGTCTCGATGATCTCGACAGCGGAGTGTACCACACGGAAACACAATCTGCGAGCCATATTTCGACGCCCCCGTAGCTGCCGCAGGCGTATCGACGTCCGTGGCAGCGCATAAGGAGGAACCCGACTACGAGAACGTATCGATGCTTCTGGCCAATTCCCAGGATATGCGGCGAGCTTTGCTGCCCGAGTATCGGAGAGCACCCGATTACGAGCAAGCCATCAGGATGAAGTACCAAATATCAGCGAGTTTGAACGACCTATCGCACGGAGCCCAAAAATACCAGAGCCGTCTCTCGAACAACTATGCGAGCTCGATACCGAGCTCCAACATCGATATCAGCGCGACTTCTAAGTCATATAACCCGCTGATGCCGTTGAACTCTCATGCTCAGTACGGCCATTATACCGATCTGCAGGCTATAGGGAACTCATCACAAGAGTTAATCTACTCGAAGAAAATGTCAAAAACCACCCCCAGTCTCGCCTATCAGGCCATGCATACCTACAGCACCCCAGAACTAAATCTCGAGCATCAAAAGGCTCTCGCGCAAAGCCGGGCCACGAACCTCCACCCGATTCAGGCTCGCGTCGCGGTTACGTCGGCTCCAGCGAAAACTAGCACATCGGTTCCCGATCTGACGCATTCGGCCACGAGTCAGCCCGCGCAAGCAATAATTCCGGACGTAGTCAGCATTCCTGCCGAGGAAACTTCGACGGCGCTCCGCAATGCCTCTACCGGAAGTGTCGCCTCAGCGCCTACCGGCCGAAGTAGGCCGATCAACACTTCTGCTGTCACGGTCAACAACCAACGTGTCTCGTATCCGAATGAAGAAAATGTCACCAAGCTGAACCTGTCGAATTCAACGGAAAATTCGGAAAGTGGTTCAGCCCATTCCTCGAATATGCTCGCAGGACCCATGCTCCAGGCCGCAATGAATGGCCTGGCGGGACCGACGGTCAAGCCGGACATCCTGGAGCACGTGGACACTGGCATCATCGAAAGGACGAATGAGCCTCCGAAGGACTCGAGGATCCAGGACCTTGAAGCTAAACTCGCCGGGGGCCATGTTTTCCAGGAGTACGAGCAAATCGTGAAGAAGAAACCAATGGCGAACTTCGCGACCGCCATGCTGGCGGAGAATATGCCACGGAATCGCTTCAAGGACGTTCTTCCGTACGAGGAGAATCGGGTGCGTTTGGGTCCCTCGAAAGACAACCGAACGGGATACATAAACGCCTCCCATGTCTCGATCAGCATAGGTGAGATGCATAGGTTCTACATCGCGGCTCAAGGCCCGATGGCGAACACTTGTTTCCATTTCTGGCAGATGATTTGGGAGAACAACGTCGCTATCATTGTGATGTTGACCGATGTTGTAGAGAACGGTAAAGAGAAATGTCATCCCTATTGGCCGCAAGCGGACGACTCGAGGGTCACCTTTAAAGACTTCGTGGTCACCCGTAAAACGACGTGTGTCTCGTCAACCTTCACCACCTGCGCACTACAGGTGCAATACTTGCCCACTAGGGTCACGCGATCCGTGTACCACCTGCAATATACCGATTGGCCCGACCATGGTTGTCCGATGGACATTCACGGCTTCCTGTCGTTCATGGAGGAAATCGAAAGCGTTCGCCGGTTGGTTCTATCCGAACAGAACTTGGCGCAGAATCGCGCGGTCCGGAACGCCCCGGTCGTCATGCACTGCACGGCGGGAGTCGGTCGATCCGGAGTTGTAATCTTGTGTGATCTGCTCTTGTTTTGTCTGGATCACAATCATCCTATAGACGTTCCGCAGGCGCTCACTTACATTCGCTACCAGCGAATGCTGTCAGTGCAAACTCTAGCTCAGTACAAATTCGTCTATCAAGTCCTGATCCAGTACTTGAAGAACTCCCGCTTGATTTAGGTCAGAAAAGAGGTTCCCTCTCCGGTGCAAGGAGATTTCCCTCCCTCAGATATTTATCGGCAATATTTAGTCAGCGAATGTGAGCGGGTCTCGAGCTCGGCAATGTCATCTCGAGATCGATATGACTTTTTCCTACGATAGTACCTCAAAGGTCACATGGTTGGCTTTTTTCATTAAGAAGTCGATATACATTACTATATATTTTATCAAGGTCAGAACTCGGCGATTGATGTCAGAAATCGAAAAGTGCATTACTTCAACAACTATCCCACATGACTTAGTCGAGCGGCTCGTCCGCCCACGGGTTGAGCTCCTACTGTGGAAGCAGACGGCACATTTGTAAAAATTCCAGAATATGGGAGCTCTGATTTGTGATGGAATCGACGTGTATACTCTATCGGAAGTCAATTGTGCAGCAACTAATGTAAATCGAGCATTCATATTGGAGAATTTATTTTCGGAATAAAAAAAGCCTTGTTCCTCCCGAATGATTCGTTGAGGAAATTCTTTTTAGCGACTCGTACGCCCGATCAAATGAATTCCTCGCGATGCGACACATTTGTGCGAGTTTCAACTCTAGCCAAACAGATGTTCCCCTACACAACCGCGCTCATATCTCCGTAGTCATTCAGCTTGCGGGACGCCTACGAGGCGCGCCCGGCTAAGAATAAGATAGTCCGTGCTGGTCGCCATCGATCTGTTCCTCGTAGATATTTTGGAAGGTTTTCCCCGAAGTGGACTTTTTTCTTGCTTTCCGGGAAGATCACGGATCCTAACCCCGGCACAATCTACTTCATCATAAATTTCAAAAAAGCGATGCCATGAATGGTAAAGCTCTGCTCGGCTCTCCGCATGAAGTTCTACGTATGTGGAGTGGAAACCGGAACGCGGTTCTTGCGTCATTCACCCGTCGACATTTCCTCGCGTCCTGTTCTCAGGAGGATTGTGCTCCGGTAATACGGTACTACTGATACTACCAACGACCTCAGCATCGACCTCCGCCTCCATCGGTTACGAATACGTCCCGAACCTCGACCCGAGTTCCGCCGTACGCTCACTCCGGAATGATCCCCGCGGCCGGACGCAGGTTTTGCGGCTCCCGATCCCTGTGAGAATGGCTGTGTCCACTTCCGATCTAGAAAGAGGCCGGTCAAGGGCATTGCTCACGACCGCGCGGCTGGGAAGCGGAAGGCATCATCCGCCTCGAGAATCTGCGCTCCGTCGTAGGGCACGCCACAGCCGCCCGCGGAGACAGCTACGAGCGCTTGGCAGGCTCAAAGTTTACACAAATCAACTGTCTCTAGCCGCTGTTCCTGATTTCTCTCCCGTCTCCCGGCCACTTATCGCCTCATTGGCGGGACCATCATGAAATCAGGATCGGCCCGGGTACCTCCCCTTGCTAGACAGTTCCGATGGAATCTCTTGAATTCTTGGGCGCTCCTCTGAATGACCTCTCGTTGGATGGAAGTCTCCAGAAAAAGATGGCGCTCGTTGATTTATGGTGCTCAAGACTCCCTGCTCTGGACGCTCATCCTGCCCTCTTCCTCATCCGCTGTAGCCTCTCTGCTCCTCGTCTCATCTACGTCCTCCGCTGTTCGGACGCCGATCGGTTTCGCGACCACCTTCGGAGCCTCGACGAAAAACTTAGACGGTGTCTGTGTTCGATACTCAATCTCGACCTGTCAGGTGACTCATGGAAGCAGGCTTCTCTTCCTATATCGGCCGGAGGACTCGGTATCCGGTCCCTCTGTGACCTCGCGGTGGGCGCTCATTCGGGATCCCTGTGTCAGCTCAGGTCGCTCGCTGCCAGCTTATGTCCGGGCGTCACTGCGGCTCATCTTGACGCTCGAATCGCCGGTCTATCTCGCAGGTTTGAGGGTTACTGGAGGAGCATTCCAGAGGAGATCTCCCAGGCTTCCTGCTCCGACGTAGTCACATCGGCGAGACGCAGCGAGCTCGTTCAGAGCTCCTCGGGGGACCTTAACAGAGCGAGACTCAACGCGGCGCTCCACCCGAGTAGCGGAAGATGGCTTCAAGCTATACCCTCTCCGTCGATTGGCACGATGCTGGACAACAACACACTCCGCATCGCTGTCGGTCTTCGATTAGGGATAGCAATCTGCTCTCCCCATCTTTGCGCACGCTGCTGCGCTCAGGTCTCAGCTTCTGGCGAACACGGGTTGAGCTGCCTCCGGAGTGTGGGCCGTCATCCTAGACATAGAGCTATTAATAAGCTCTTGTCTTGCGCCCTTCTATCCGCGAGGATAGCCAACATATTGGAGCCCACCGGTCTTTCGAGCTGCTCGGGCCTCCGCCCGGACGGCCAAACACTCTCGCCTTGGAGGGCAGGTAAGGCTCTCGTCTGGGATGCCACGGTGTGGGACACTCTCGCTCCCTCTCATAGGCCCCTTGCGGTCCGCTCGGGAGGTGCGATTGCAAGGCTCGCGGAGAGGAAAAAGCTGGACAAGTATCAGGTTCTTGAGAGCCGCTTCATTGTGCAACCGGTTGCGATTGAGACTCTCGGAGTTTTCGGTTAGGGCACAGAGGCCTTCCTCCGAGATCTGGGTGCTCGTATCGAGTCCGAGTCGGGCGATAAGAGGGCCACGGAGTTCCTCCTTCAGCGCTTGTCGATAGAGGTTCAGAGAGGGAACGCCGCTGCTGTTCACGGCTCAATGCCTTCGGGTGACGGGTTGCCCGGAGTAGGGTGATCATACCTTATTTACTACGTTAGAAAGATCAAGAAATCTCCAGACTGAAACCTGAGAAATTGAGTACTGCTTCGTCGAAAACAGTTTTCTGTCGCACTTAGCGGAGTAAGCCAACGAAAGACCTCGAATCAATGGTGATGATCTGCTCCACTCGAACACAATCGAGAAAATATCTTAGGAATCCCTCCCCGATAGTTCCTGGAAACGTGTCCATCTTCACGGCACACAGGACTTGCTCCGATAGAGTTGTCCCAAAAGGTCGCCCGGATCCAAGTTGAGGTCCTCTGGGCTCGTTTCATATCTATGAAGCCGCCTCGAGACTTCTGATCCGAACTCACGAATCCAGACCTCTTCGGGTTTTCCTCACTCCTCCGGTGGCCTTCCGCTTTGAACTCTGCCCGAATTCAGTCGGAAACTTTGCCTGGGCAAGATGAAACGTACTGAATCACGGATTTCCCAAAGGAATCATCTCTACGATTATCTATGAGAATGAGTACTGGAAGGATTCACGAAGAGCTCTGATCAGGCAGATGGCATTCATCTGATCCTTAGTCCTCTCCTAACAATAAGTCGGAACGCTCGACTTCTCGCTTTGCAAGCGTTTCCGTATTTAGATGGCGTTCTAGTCAGTAATCTCTCCGAGGAATATCAGGATGACCGGACGACGAGGCAGACGAAAAGCTAAACTTCCGGTCTATCGGTTCTCCCTGATTTCACACTCGATTGACTCCGGGAAGCGAGATATCGTCATTGAACCGAGCGGAGACAAACACGTACTTTCAGGCATGAAAGACAAACAATGTGTCCCTCCGATTCTTGCATAGATCAACGTTTTCCTGTTGGGAGATTCGCTCCGAACCCTCGTTCCACCAGCCCCGCAGCTGGGTCCGAGTTTCTCCTCGAGCATTGCAGCTTCCCTGCAGTCGCGCATTCCCGAGTGCGTCATACCCGACAGTCGATGATTTCAGGATAAGGGAGATCTCTGTAGAAGCCCAGGAGAAGGGCCCCAAGGAAGAGTCGGAATCCAGGGAAGAACTCCGTGTCGCAATAAGGATGACTCCAGCAGCGAGAATGAGCCCGGTATCAATTCTACATTTCGAAACACAGAGTTTATTTCCAAACCTAAGATCAGGAAGGAGCTTCAATGCATCGATCGAATACCAAAAAACTCATACACCGTCGCTACAGACCTCCGCTTGAAACGGCGGACAGCTGACGACCACAGCGCGACTCTCCTTATAAGCCTGATTAGGGACGGGCAAACCGCATGGATCACATTGAAGACCGGTTGCAATTCCGGAGGAAGTTGCGGTCGCTTCCTCCTAGAAACTATTCTCCGATCCGTTTTTCGTCTCATCTGGTACACAAACGCTCCGTTTTCTCCTCGCTGACTCATTTTCGTCGTTCTCGCGGGCAACGGAACAAACCTCCCGTCATCGCAGGCGGCTTCAGCAGCCTGCTTCCCCTTCGACCTATGCTGAAAACTTGCCGTCGTGTCGCCAAGAGCTCCAGGAGCCTCCTGTTCCTTCAGCCGACTGATGGGATGGTCTGACGAAGTCGCGGAGGGATTTCCTCCGGATGACTCTTTGACATTGACGTCCAGCACGAAGGATTTCTTAGGCTTACCCTTATCGCCGTGGATTGTGAGCGTCGCAAGGGTTTCCCGTAGCACTCCCATACCGCTACCGCGGGAAGTTGGCAAGCTGAGGTGAGTTGTGAGGGACCGAGACGATCGGGGCGGACACTTCGTTTTCAAGCCGAATCCGATGAGCTCAGAGCTTAGAGCCCCGGCTACGGAAGAATATGCGGTACAATCCGCTTATCGGGACTAAGCCATTCTGGTCTGAGCAAGCGGTCGGTCCCATGAAGCGGAGTGGGGCAAGAAGCGGCCGGGATTGTGCTTTTCCCAACCTGGAGCGTGTTTCGGACAATGTCAGTCATTCGAATGGACTCCTGGAGATATGTTGAGCGCAAAGGGACACTTATCACACGTAGCTCGGGAGACACCATGCATTATACGTATATGTATAAGAATCTCCCCTATTTTCCTCGGGTAGCAGAACGGTTTTACTGTCACAGTCTTCGTGCCCTCGCGTCAATGTGGGACGCGTCGCGCTCCTCGGATAAATCGAAACCCGAGATGCGACAGACAGACGCCGACGGCGCGGCGCTCAAAAGTTTCTCTGAGCTGAAACGTTTCTTCCACATATAGAAAGGGATTGGGGTGGTTCGGTGAGGCGGATCATTGCCCTGCAGGAGCCCCCTGCTGGGACCCGAAAGCCAGGGCGGACTCAGCCTATGACTCGCTCGTCGAGTGCAGAGATCGAGAGCGACAGAAGGAAATCGATAAGCTTCTCCGGGCTAATCTACAGCTCTCCGATCTCCTTCTGAGTCCAGAGCTGCCCCAGTATCACCAAGCCTGTGCCTCAACGCTTAGGCTGAGGGGATTCGAGAATGTTTGGTCTAGAATATGGATGATGCAATGACATGAGCTGCGCAGACTTTGACCCAATGTTTATTGGCCTGAATCTGGACTTCCGCTGATTATTGTTAGATCCAGATGGCAGATTCTGACGTGCTGGTAATGAGTGCGGAACACGAGGAAGCCGATCCCCATCCGGAGTGTTCATCCGTTCTAAATTGTCGTGGCTCTTCAGGAGGTACCTCCTCCTCTTCCGAGGAGCATTGCTGCGATTCAGAAAATACTTAAGACCCCATTTCTCTCCGGAAACGAATGGTTGGCGGTCATAGTTTTCGAAAATGACAAAAAACAGCAAATTCTACATAATGCTACTCTCGGGAGGTCTACTTTGCACAAGACAGTCTCTGAACTGAGAAATCGCAAGTCTCCGTCCGGCAATTCAAGAGCCAGAACACGAACCGCTCAACAGGACGGGAGCTCTGTGAGAATACTTACGAAGCATGTTGAAAAGCGTCCCCACGACATCCTCAGACATATCCAGTACGGGGATGATGTTTTGCCCGATAGATTGGGTTAGCTCGTTCTGTTGCAGCATTTTCTCGAATTGCATGACTGTGGAGAAAAGCCGTCTCAGTCGTCAGATCACTCGGCGGCGACTGAACAGAGGCTTCTCCTCCTTAGACGCAAAGACTCACTTGCTTGACTGTACTGCTCCATGGCTTGATCCGGTTGGACACTTTGGCTCAACACCCCAGTGATTCCCCGGAGGAGAGAGGACACAACTGCAAATTACGAATTTCTGAGCGCTGACCCCATTCTCTTTGACTATATGAAAACATCCGCGGTACCCGACCGGTCAGCCTACCAACCATTTCCCAGCCCCTCAACGATCGGCATCAAGTTCTGGAGCGCTGAAAGGTCATAGCTTCGTCTGAATGCAATAAGCGAGACGAGACGCGAATATCTCCAGGATACTGTAGGGAAAAGTCCATTTGCAGGTTTTACTCACTCGAATTCAGCGTGTTGGCTGTAACACAACAAGAAATCCTGAGCAAGCATAATTCGGGACCGCGAAAACTCGAGACGAAAATTCATATGATACCCGCAACATACCCAATCCCTCTGGAACTAGACTTCCAGAGTTCTGCGCATCCGTAGCGGGTGCAGCCCAAAGGCAGAGAGCGACGAGTAGTAGTATCCTCATGTTGATCCGCATGAAAAGGTGGTTTCGTGTGGGAAAAATATGGTCCGGTCTGTTTTTATACCTGACCATGTGCCTTCACAGACGACACAATTAGGCGTCGAATTCTCACCGTTAGCGGTCGGATCGGCAATTCCATGATCCCGATGTGACGACACTCGATCTATGACGTATCTCGGCTCGAAGCTCTGATCCGGCTGTCATGCCGACTTTTGATATCGCTCAAGATTCCGAGTTTGCCTCTCCTCTCATCCGGAGCAGTCTATGGGTCCAAAAGGTGTACGAGCCACGACTTCGCTCAAGAGAAGTCGGAGAACCTCTGTCAGTCCACACCGGGCGCCCCTCGTCTTGAACGTCATCCGTGGAGTTGTGTTGAGCCGTGTCTTCGATTAGGAGGAAGACCAATGAGCTGATGAGCTTCGGATGATCTCCGAGGGGGGACGGGGACGAGACTCAGCCGACGAAATCGCTTGACGCAGTTCGAGGCGGGTTACGAGATCACTCGTTAATTACGAAATGTCGAAGTTCATTCGGAGTGAAATTCGAAGTAAATTGGCGTTGCCCGATTCTCGCTGGCGACTCTCAGGTGAGCGAAGATACCAGTTCATCGAATGCCTACGGTATTCCCTGTCCGCGAGCAAGGAATGGGTGGAAGGGAGTCTTTGGTGAAAGCATTGATGCTCTCTCATATTCAATTTGGCTCGACGGAAGTTCGCCGAAAAGAAACGATTTCGCCCTACCGACAGGCTAATGGGGGACTCTCGAGAGATAGTCGAAGAGTCTCGGTCCGGGATTCTCATTCACATGTAGAATTTACATATGATTTCGAATGGTTTCATCCATTCAGGTCGTCAAGGAGTTCTGAAGGGATTGTCATGACCCATGACGCATTCCGAGCCGACAGTTCATTTACCGTCCATAATTGCCTGATTTGGTCGACAGCTCGCGTCGCGTCGTCTCTGCGGAAACATGCCGCGACGCGAACAACGAAAGAGCTCAACGGAATCGACCGTAGACAGCGTCAACGACCGCGAAGCTGAGCCAATCTCCACGTGACCACGGAGACAAGCCGGTCGGAGAAAGAGTTTCTCAGAGAGCCTCGAACATCTACCGCAATTAGGATCGAGTCCAGTCGGCTCCGGGCGGCTTACCTCCTGAACGATAACGTACGGTACCGGCCTGTCGGCCGGGGCGATTACCCGAGTCATCTTGAGTTTTTTGCCCTCGATCAGCGAGAATGCCTCCTCTCGCGGAACTTCGAAACATCATGCCCTCTTCCCCTGAATACCCTCCTTCTCGCCACTGCCCTCAAGACCGGAGGGTCTTTCTATTTCTTCTATAATATTCCGCGGGAATACTCCGTGACTGATTACAGGTACGAAGAGATCGATTGAATCGCTCGGGCCTATCATCACCTCTCTCAGGTGACTCTTCGAGGTACGAAGAGGTTCCAACTGAGCTCGGGCAACCATGACGTCGCCCGCAGAGAGTTGAAGCTGATTCTCCATAGAGTCGCCGAATACTGCGGATACAGCTTCGGAGCTTCCGGGAGTGGGCGGCATCCACGTGGGGCTCCAACACCGGATCCAACAGCAAGCATTCGAGCTCCGGGTCTCGGTTAGGATCATGATTAGGGCTCGACTTGTGGCGCGGCATTTCAGGCCAGAAATCGCGGCGAGGGCGCGGCTTCTCCTTCGAAAAATCGCGTTGCCGCGATTTTCTGGCTTACGTGCGGTAGATATGGACATTCAGAACGCGATTCTCTGCTCGAAAAAGTTATTCAAGAAAATCTTCGAATCGGAGAGACATGAGCTCTCTTTGATAGAGCGCCGATCATCGCTCAGAACATCTGCGTACTGACTGAAAGATCGCTCTGCTGCGACACTATTGATGAAAACGCTCAAGCACATGAGAGCGATTTGAGAGAGCTTCGGGAATCGTACCGATGCTCTGATCCAGAAAGTTGAAGGTGGCGAAGAGGGACTAGTTCATTTGAAGCCGCCAGATATGCTCGAGGTTCAGCTGTCACCTGGTCGTCATCCTCGAACCAGGGTACACTCTCTACACACGTGTTCCCCCTCTCGCGGGCAGGATCATTACGTTTCCACGGGGAGAGTACTAGAGGGTCTGAATAAATTCGCGGCGGAGATAATCATGGTATCCTCGAGAAAATGGAGAAAATCGCGGTTCCCTCGGAAAAATTGGGAAAATCGCGGTTCCCTCGGAAAAATTGAGAAAATCGCGGTTAACTCGAAAAAAATGAGAAAATCGCGCTTAACTCGAAAAAAATGAGAAAATCGCGGTATTTGTCGCGACCGCGATTACCGCGCCGAAAGTCGAGCCCTAATCATGCTACAATATAGTCGCCTGAGGTTAAGGCATCCGTGGAAGGGCTGTGGATTGGTCAAGATCCTCGGGTCTATGTATTCTCGCGCCACTGGGCACTCCTTTCTCAATTGTTCCCGATCATATCGATCCTCCAAAAGGTCAGGGTGAGATTCCGTGACAGAAGGAACGTCCGGATGATATCTCCCGGCAGCGGGAATCTTCCTCATTCAGAACTGATCCAGCGATCGAGCTCTGGCTCGAACGTGAAGCCGAGGAGCATCGATTCACCCGCGTCAAGTACCATCTCGAGGAGCTGCTCCCACCGGAAAGATTCAATCGGCCTCTCGGGCGAATGAAGGCGGTAGACGTTGCGACGGTCATCTGAAAAGTCTTCCATGCGATGGACCGAACCCGGATGGCGGATTCATGCAGAATTTGCTGCCGTGTCCTGACGTCCCCATAGCGGCCTCTGCTCGACGGGCGTGGTGACCTCTCAGAACAGCCGGCCCGCAGCGACGATTCCGCGACCGATGCGGTGCCAACAAAACCGTACGGATCCGCGCACAACTGCCCCCGTCACGGAGCAAACTCCGAAGGCAGCAACAAAATTGTGTCCCCTCGGGAGTCTGGAGTATCATCGATCCCCGTATAGACGGAAATCTCCTGTTGAGAGGTGATTACGCGGGGATCATCCGCTGATCATCGTCTCATCGGTTCGGAACGTTCCAATCTCCAAGCTCAGAATTCCGAGCAGGAAGTGTCTACAGGTTTTGTATCTGTGGCTAACATTCTCAGTCTCCGCCGGAAAAAACATCCCAGCTATCACTGGCCGCGATCCGAAGCTGACCGGCCGGAAGTTGATGAGTCGAGGCTGCTAACTACAATTCGTCATTCCGCCAAGTCATGCCAGGCGACATGATCTGTCGTCAGAGGCCCGAGCTTTATTATCGAGCGTCTACGGTCTGATGGCCCTTGACGCACGTGTTCACCAACTCCCGGTGGAGAGTAAAGCATATCCCACTACAGGAGAGCCTCGGAGTCGATTTTCCCGAAACAGATTGCACGATTTGCTGTTGGGGCACTGTTACGATATGAATTACATGCCCGACACTTCCGCGAGCCGCCTCACACTCGTGGGCCATGGGTTGAAATAATGTCAAGGAAATTGGAAGCACCCTCGGTCAAATGAGTTCCCGGGGCGTTATTCCGGGCCTGATATCCCAGTCCCTTATAGTACGAACCCGTCCGTCTTATTCCGGATCGGGGCTTGCAGTGTCCTCTACTGACAAATTGGAATCGGTTCGAATAACGAGCGAGAGTCGTGGAATCGAATCCACGTTCTTCATGGGCTATCTCATGGGAATTCGGGAAATTCATATCGGGGTCTCACTCCTAGGCGAACGTCTCCCCTCGTCATCAGCAACCCACATTGCAGGAAGACTGGCATGTAAGATTGAAGCGAAAGCGTTGCAATCGACTGATTTCCGGCCGAACAAGTCCACGAATACATTCGACAATGTTATTGTCTGAGATTCCCGAGTCTGTCACGAATCTTTCAACTCTCAGATTATCACGGAGCCGATGCGGGCAGCTTCCGGAGCTACGGCGCGCACAAGCATCGACCGGAGCAGAAAAAATCTCAGACCAAGCTCTATTCTCATGTCTCACGGGTCACTTCTACTTTCGGCGACTTTGTGACGATTCTCACGGATAAGCAAGCGGAACTATCTACCCGTAATATGTGGAAGAGTATAGTCGTGCTTCTGTCCCGCCATTTTCTCATCGTGGACCTCCCCGCTCAATATGAGGTTCACGGCAGTGCTCCTAATCTGCGCTGTGTGCATTCCTTGTCATGGGAATCACTTCGACGACATAGAGGAGTCCATTTTAGACGTTTTCCAGAACATTGTACGGATGGTGGACCCAGCAAATGAAACGAAAAGACCAGACGTCACGGCCGAACTGAAAGGTTGGTGGCTGCACGAAAATGTATTTTCTGACCCCTCAATTGAGTTTACAGCCTTGGAGAGAATGAACAGAGTCAAACGGAGTAT